TTAATGTTTAATATATATATATATATATATATATATATATATATCTTTTATATCTTATTTAATCGTAGCTGTATTTATTTTAACAAAAATACAGTAAAAATAGTAATACAGTGTTACATTTTAAAATAGCGGTAAAAAATACGGTAGTACTTGTCACATGATTCAATATAAACGCTACGATAATTCATACATACACCACAAATACCCTTTATAATAAAACATTATAAATAAATAGAAATTGAAAAGAAGTCAAAATATTATAATTAAATCAGGCATAATAATTATTTAGTTGTGTCCATGCTTCCACTAATAATTGCTAAAAAAGAAAAGAAATACAGCGACTGTAAGTTCAGTGTAGATGACGGTATTCAAGACATGCACAAACACTCGAACAGCATTTCCTGTTGTAAACGCAACCCCACTGCCCCTCAGTCTCGATGCCAGGGGAAAGCAAACGTACCGTCGTGCTGCTGGAGCAGGGCTGTGCCGCCCATATAGCGCTGCTTGGCCATTTCCATCCTGGCGGGGGGGTTGTCAGGACTGAAGACGGAGGTGAAGCTGAACTCGCCCTCACCGCTCCACCAGCCCTGAGCCTGGGCCGTACCGCGCAGATCCGGATGCTCCGTTGAGATCTCCGTGCCTATCGTCAGCTGGTTAGAGATGTTCTTCACTCCCTCTGGCAAAACCAATTACATCCCGTTTATTTTTAGAAACGGATTATTTAGAAAGGAGACTTTTCTTAGAGATTTATCATCCTGATACAAAATTAAAAAAATAAATAAATAAAAAAAACAGCCACATTGGAAATCTGGGATTCAATGAACGGAGAAATCAAATTTTCCTTGAGCTTTTGACATTAAGAGGTCATCATATTATAAGAATATCCTGTAAGTTTCAGAACTGAAAACGTCCTTGTTAGTCCAATAAAAGCTTTTATTGACACACCAGCCTCAGCAAACGACTCGTTTTTCAAAGTGGGGAACTATGACGTCAAAGAGGATAAAACACCACCCCCGCAGACGAAGATCAACGCCTACTTCAACACGACCGGTTTAGCCCCGCCTACCGATTCACGCATCTAAATAACGGATCGAGCTACCGAGCAATACAGAATATTGTGCAGTGCCTGGTTGTGGAAGAAGACAGTCGCTGCATAAGCTTCCTCTGGATTCCAATAGGACTGCATGGATAAACTTTAATTTTAATGATGTTCCAGCTGATGAGGGTAAAACATCGTCGTCTGTTCGCTTCATTTCACTGAGGATTGTTTTGTAAACAAGACTGGATTTGCAGACCGATTAAGAGTAAAGAACGGCGCTGTGCCGTCTATATTGGATCTGACAGGAATTGTGCAACACACAGACTCTGGGTCAAATCATTCCGGTTGCCATTTTACAACATTGGACGTTTTCAAAACAATTTCCCCCAAGTGCATCGACAGGTGAGTCGAAACTCATTATTATGCAAAACTATTATCCACTCACAGCAGTGGGCGTTTACTTCCAAGTATTCAGTGCGAGACGCCCATAAAAACCGAGCGTTTTTCAGCTAGGCTCAAAACTATGGTACAAAATAGCCTATTACTTATCAATTTTAATGTTTTTGAATGTAAAAACCAAGCGAACGTCATAAGTTGACCTCAGACAACAATATAATAAAATTTAAAAAGCCAGTTCATGACCCCTTTAAGATTTTGAAAATGTTAAAACAAAGGAACATTACTAATCAAATATATTACTGAATTTATTTGAATGACTTTTTTGAATATTTAGAATCACTCACCACTGACCATTAATCATCTCTCTCCCTCACCTGTGACTTTCTGTGCCGCCCACAGTTTCCCAGCAGTCTCTAGCACCCAGGCTTCGAGTCGGTCCACTAGTAAGAAGGTGTTGTGGTAACTAAAGGGTTCTGCAGTTTCCCGACAGCCTCCGCCCTGACCGTACTGCTCCAGCAGACCTGTGATCACATTCAGAGCGTCCCGTGCACTCTCCCCACGCTCCAGACCCAGCCTGAACACACACAACATACAGTACATACATATATATATATATAGCTGGCCAATCAATTTTAAGGCTAGAAAACTAGAAGATAAAAGATGTTTGTTTGTTTTGGGCTCACCGAACCAGGTCCATTCCCAGCAGAGCTTCTTCTGGATTCACAGGCTCCTTGGTCCAGACCGCCTCGTTCCCAATACACACCCCGTGTTCATTAGCGCCCATCTCAGCCCCCCACAGCCAGGCCGGTCTGCTCAGCACAACTGCATGAGTGTGCTCTACTTGAGGGATAGAAACGTATGTGCACTATATGGAAAAGAGAATCACCAGTTAATCATCTATCACATATTTAGGGAGCAAATATGACACTGCAAATGGTGAAATATTCACAAAGGGTTTGAAACTAAATATTACGCATTTTGATGAAACGTAATTAACTTGAAAAGTCAATTCACCTCCAGTGTAGAGCCAGGAGTGTGTGAGGACGCAGGGTAACACACCACCTCCTGCACCTCATCTCTTGGCCGGTCAGAGTTCTTACCAAATATCACGTAATCTTCTTTTGAACCCGGAGGCAGAGATACAAAACAGTCACATGACCGAGGCGGTTCAGCCATCCTATATCAAATCAATACATCAGGATCAATGCAGTGGATCACATTCAAATGACAACAACATAAATACCCATATTATACAATGGAAAGATTAACATGACGGAAAACATTTTGGCATACACAGGCTTAGGCTTATAGATCGCTAGTCAAAAAAAAAAGCAAGTACAAGAATAATAATAATTCAAAACTGATTATTTAAATATTCTGTAACACTTTACGATAAGGTTGAACTAACCATGAGAAATACATTTGTTACAGTATTAGTTATCTTTGTTAATGTTAATTAATAAAATATAATTCACAGTGCATTAACTAGCCTAATTATAACAAGATTTTAATAAAGTATTAGTAAATGTTGAAATTAACATTACCAAAGATTAATAAATGCTGTATACGTGCAGCTCATTATTCGTTTTAACCATTGTGAAGTGTTACCAAATATTCAATAACACAATTTATTCAAATGCATTTATAAAACATGAAAAATATTTACATTATTTGGAATAGTGAAATATTTCGCAATATTTCAATATTTATCACTTAAACATAGCAAAAATATTTAAATATTCCAAATATTAAACTGTAATTGTAATATCTTCCATTCAGACACAAGGATAAACCGTTTCACTAACAGAAACAGATCTTTTAAACATTTAATTTAGGATGAATGATTTTGATTGGAAAACATCCACGTTAAGTTTGATTATGCAGGCTTGTGGTCAAGGGTCATTTTCATTGGGTTCTACGTAGTGACTGACCACTGAAAAACTCAAAGTGTGTGTTTCGTTGTTGGCTTGATAATACTAATTACAACTAATAATAATACATTTATGCGATACGTAAAAACATTTTTTTTTTTTTTTTTTAAATCTGAAAATTCTAAACTGAAATGTCTACATGAGATAGCAGGGATGAGCAATCATATGGTGTTTTTCGTGTGTGAATGTAAAGCTTGTGCAGAAGTGATTGAAGAAGAGTCCTGCACCGATAGAGGAGTGCTGAGGAAGGATTACTGCTGCTGGAGAGGAGATATACGGCTTATCGCCTGACCTCCATTTCACAGACTCCTCAGCTCCGATCTTCAATTGCACAACAATCAAAAGCTGCTTTTTAAGCACTCATAAGAGCAGCATGCAGTGTTTTATAGGAGATGATTTTAATATCTGAAAGACTAATGGCCTGTGTGTCTGATAATGGAGCATCTATATATAAATATCGAAGTCGTGCATCAAAATTAACGCGTGACATTCACGTGCATGCATTAAATGAGTTTTATTAGTGCTACTCTAATCGTCTAGCACACGTTAGAGAGTATTTGATGAAGTTATTATTACCTTAATAAGCTCCAGTTCGGTCAGCGAGCCTGTGAGAGGCAGGGCTGAGACGGATCAACCTGCTTCTGCTGCATAAAAGCCCCTTTCAATTCTTTGACCTGCTACTGCAGACACTTCAAAATAAAAGTCATCTGAGGCCACTGACCCGTTAAAGATGTACATATTAACCAGAAGAAAAAAAAACGGGAACAAATTATATTAACCCAAAATGTTGCGACAGCAAAGTGTTTTGACGCAGTATTTAAAAAAAAAAAAATAAATAAAAAACACCACAAGGACACGTAATGCACATAATAAATAACAGCTGAACAAACAAATATATTCCATAAAATATATTACAACTACTAAAAACCAAGATTTAAAAATCTTAAAAATGTTCTTTCTTTCTTTCTTTCTTTCTTTTCTTTTCCTGGCAGCAATGGATATCTCTAGGAAATGTGAATAAAAATCACAGACATCATTGTAGACAGTGATTGTATATCTTGGCACAGCATTTGGACATAATCAGAAACGTTATTTCTAATAAAGTAAAATAAATCATTTACAAAATCATGTTATCCTGTAAATGCAGCCATTAGTAGATATGTTCATACTGTTTGTGATAATTACATTATTGTCCCAGTTCTATTCACAAGACAAAAACAAAAAACAAAACAAAAAAAAAAACAACTCAAATGAATTCCCCATACATCTTGCAATATACTGCCGATCTCACAAAACAAAAAGCTTATAAAAACAATATTATATAACCTTTTCATATTCATGTAACTACCCTAATATAGGCTACATCTTATCCAGTATTTTATTTTATGTTTTACATTTGTTCATTTTATATTTTAGTTATCATTTGTTTTAACATAGCCTAATCAGAAGGATACCACAACGCCTTATATTTACCTCGCACTTATATGTAACTGAACTTAAAGACTCCTAAGTCCTAACATGTCGTCAAGTTGTGTCACTGCTACTGTTTTATAGTGCTTTCATGGGTTTCATTCATGGGGTTTTAATATGTACACGGATTAATAAACACTAATAAAACCAAACGCAATGAATAAAGACAGCAAAGTGTTTTATTTATAAATTCACAGTTTCTAATGGCACTACACCGCTGTAGTTACAATTGAAAAAGAACAAAAAAATCAAATACTGTGCAGTTCGTTCTCACAGACTAGAGATTTCATTTGGGCGCCACCTAGCGGACGTTTTAATAAATCAGGCATTAGCCACTAGAGGGCGCCATACTAGGAAAAGCCTGGTTCGAAAAAGCACTTGTACAAGGTGTGGAGTAAAAAACAAACAAACAAAAAACAAACAACAACAAAAAAAGAACAAGGCATGTGGAGTTCTCCAAAGTGCACAGGAGAGACACATGCTGGGGTCTCTACTCACTGGGATACTGGAACAATTCAGCTCAAAAATACTCATCAACATACACACCGGTTGAGAAAAAAACATCCATACTTAAACACAAAATCCACAAGCATATATCAATTAGCATTCAAAAACAAGGAGAAAGGTAGTAAAACGTTTCAAAGTGGAAAATGCGTCATGGAAATCACACAGAGATGGTCCACCGTACGCCATCCCAATCTTTCCCTTCTATTGAAATAAGTGACATGAATTCACATTCTCCTAAACCCCAGTTTGATAAAAGGTCAATGATGGGATCGTCTGCATGAAACAAAAACAATCACAATCTTAGACACCACATAAAACACACAAGTGTGACACATAGAAACTCCACTGGGATGTCAAATGGTCTCTTGGGTGCATTAAAACAACTATGAAAGCAGCAAACACACATACATAGAAAGTGTGATAAGAGGGAGTGTGTGAGTAGAGAAGACGCATGACAGGCAGGACAGACCAGAGGGTTGCTTTGCTGGACATGCATAATATTTGCGCAAATACGAGAGCTTGGGCATTCTTATGATTCACCTGAATCCAGAAACTCAAAGCTCATCCGAACAGATCCAGCGAGGAAGAGCGAATCACAGCCAGACGGGTCTCCATGATCACATTATGAGCGTTAGAATGGATATATCTGACATTTCATTTGATTTGAATGGAAAATAAATGAATAAATCAAATACATTTTACTAAATAATTTCATTCGAAATCGATCAGAGTCCAGCTTTCTCAAAAGAAAAGGAAAAAAAGACGGTGTGTAAAGAGAACAGGAAGATGTTGTCGTACCACTTGTGTGCATCTGTAATAAATCTAAACATGGAGGTTGGAGGGGCCACTGCAATATGTATGTCGATATATGTCACATGACCATAATCTCATAGAGCCTGGGTCACATTTAAATAAATAAATACATAAATAATTACCGCAAAAAAAAAATAACATGTCCCCTCTAAACTCCTGTGTACATATAAAGTGTGAAAAATTATAAGAAATTATACTAATTTCTACATGTGTCTTTAATGCCGGCTCTACTGAACATGAAGAAAATGAGCTGTAAACGTACTTGAAAGAGCTGGATACTGAGCATGAGATGCTGTGTGTGTGTGTGTGTGTGTGTTCAGGCCCAGCCTGAACTCGTTGGTCACACTAGATGGTGAGAGAAACAGGCCATAATTTGGCTCTAAAAGAACTGAAAAGAGAATTAACAATGACTGGATCTGTTCATCATTCAGCTCTGTTCACTGGATTGAAGCCCTGTGCAATGTGACATCACTGGTCCCACAAACCAACCACAGACGACGACTGCTGCAGAGTCACACACTCACATGTGCAAGCATTTCATTTGGATCGAGGGAGGTGAGCGTGAGCGTTAAAGGGACAGTGAAAGAGGTCATGTTAGTGTAAAGAAAGATGCGGGGGCCGCCGGCATCGACGGGTCACATGGTCACGGTGATGCGGCGCATCTCTCATCTCTCTAAATGAGAGATGACAACATCAAGACTCACTCATACTTGCGAATGTTTATCAGTCATAATATTCCCTAGAAGAATTAAACAAAACAAAAAAACTTAAAGGGAATAACAAAAACGATCCCGAATGGAAAAAAAAGGCACATAACCAAAGTCCTGTGAACCAGGATGTAGTGAAGATGGCGTCAGGATCGCCACTGACAATAAAATCTCAAAGCGATGGTGCGATGGAATAAGAAAAGGAAAAACTCAAACTCGTCCCGTTACAGCCGTCCTTCCAAACGTGTCCTTTCCCTTCATAAGTTCCTGCAGCGCCGGCATGACGGTCACAGGAAACACAGGCGAGTTCATCATCTCCTCCGGCTGCTGCTCCGCGTTCCTGGACCGCCGCCGCTTCAGAGACCTCTTATCCACCTTGCTCTTGGGCGGAGGCGCCCCGTTGCAGAGTCCGTTCATCACAGGGGCGCAGCCGAAAGACTCCTCGGACAGCGTGGAAGCGGAGCTCTCCTCTGACGCGCAGTCTCTGGACGTGAAGCCGTTGCACGTCGACGGCAGGAAGCGAAGAGAACAAGATGATTCGCCGTTGCACCTGGGCTCACCGTTAACAGCTGGCACTGAGGGGACGGAGGCGCCGAGCGTCTCCACTCGGTCCCCTGCTTTTGTCTTGCAGCGTTTCTTCTGAAAGACACAAAAATCGAGAGGTGATTTACAGTCGAAAGGATGCGTTCAGAGAGCTATTTAAACACCTAAAGCCGCTGTAACCGCCTTTGTGCTAAAAGAGTTGGAACACTTCAGCAGACACTAAGAAGTCAAGGCACAGTAATACAATCACTGTGATGATACTCATGAGGGCAAAGAACGCGAGGGAGCGTTAGTGGAGAAGTTAAGGCCTGTTAACACCAAGACAACAAACATCTTATTTTTTTAATGAATGGCTGTTAATATTTCTGTTCAGACCGACAGCATTTTACATGTCTTCAATGCAAAGCAGGGTTTTTACAGCAAGGTGTTTTAATGTCACACTGCAACAAAAAACTGGACAACAAATGAGATCCAGGTTGGTTTCATGACCAGAGCCGCTACGATTTCACAAAACTCAGGAAATTATTTCCTGAGCAACAATGTAGAGGATTATTATCATAAACAAATATATATATATATATATATTAGAGCTGTGCAAAGATTCACTGCAATTAAATCACATCCAAAATAAAAGTTTGTGTTTACATAATATGTGTGTGTGCTGTGTATAATTATTTTGTATATATAAATACATATGCATGCATGTATAGATATACTGTGTGTATATATATATATATATATATATATATATATATATATATATATATATATACACATACATAATCTATGTTATAAATAAATATTTTAATATGAATAACATTTTTTTTTATATACATGCATGTGTTTATTTATATATACAAAATAAATAACACAGCACACACAAATATATTATGTAAACACAAACTTTTATTTTGGATGCAATTAATCACAATTAATCTTTGCACAGCCCTTTAATGATGATTTTTATCAAACTTGTATATTTAAGTTCAGTAATTTCACTTAAATAACAATTAATAGGTAATTATCATTGCCATTTAAGTGAAATCACTGAACTTAAATATACAAGCTTGATAAAAATCATCATTCTAGAAGAAAATTTCAAATGGCACTTAGAGGCTTTTGCATCTGAACTCTTCATATATATATATATATATATATATATATATGTTTTTTTTCTTTGTTAACTGAAATAAAATATGTAACAAACAAATACAAAAAAAGTAACATTTCTCATTTCCATTAAATACAAGCAGTCATTCTTTTTCTTTTTCTTTTTTGCATTGGTCTGAACAGAGTCCAGAAAAAAAAAACAGTAATATAGTGAAATATAATTACAACTTAAAATAACAGTTTTCTATTTGAATATACTTAAAAATAAAATTTATTTGGTAAAGTTGAGAGTTTTCCATGTCACATGATCCTTCAGAAATCATTCTAATGTGATGATTTACTATCAATGTTGGATTTTTTTTTTCATAACCTGTGATTCTCAGAACAGAATTTGTTAAAAAATGTAATCTTTTCTGACAATATAAATCTTTACACATCACGTTTTATCAATTTAACACATCATTGTTGAATAAAAATATTAATTTCTTTCAATAAAAAGAAAGGAAAGTGAACAGTGTAGTTTGAACAGTAGTGTACTGTATATAGTCACAAAAGGTTAATATTTTAAATAAAAGCTGTTCTTTAACTTTTTATTTAACATTAATTCCTGGAAAAAAGTGTCACAGGTTAGAAAACTTTTGCAACACTGATAATAAATCATCATTATATAATGATTTCTGAAGTACCACGTGCCACTGAAGAGTGGAGGAATGATGCTGAAAATTCAGCTTTGCATCACAGAAATAAATGAGACGTTCAAGTATAACAAAACAGAAAACCATTATTTTAAGCAGTAATAATATTTCAAAATATTACATTTTTTCCCTATATTTTTTAAATAAATGCAGCCTTGGTGAGCATAAGAAACTTCTTTCAAAAAAATTAAAATAGTAATGTTTCCGAACTTTGAATTTTCATGTAGAACATTAGTGTTGGTGTAAACAAGCCTTTACTATCAGACCAGCCACACTAGAGCTCGTGTTTAGCTTTAGGGAACTAGATAAACCTTGACTAATCATTAATAGTGTTGTGAATTACTCATTCATTTATTAAATGGTTCAGTATTGACTAAATGAACAGATGTCCGACTCAAAATGAACCAAGGCACTTCAAGTTCATGAAAATGTAATCAGAGCAATTACTGATTACAACATGAAAAGTGTGACCATCAATCATTATTTTTGTTTCCTTTTGGTTTAGTATAGAGTTTAGAACATTTTTGGGTGTCAATGGAATGAGATTAGTCAAATGCAATCGGAATCAGAAAATGATTCCCGTCCCTAATTCTCAGTCAGCAGAGAGACGGTTAACTTCACGGACTGTCAGAGAGACTAACTGGAAAAAGCTGCGTTCCGAAACACTCACTGCTCTTCACATTTACTGTAGGATCTCTTAAGAAACATGCGATGTAATCATGGTTCTTACAGACTCAAAATACAGCAGTAAAACTGGAGCGAACAAGAGCTGTGAGAGGTTTTGAAACCCAGCTTCAGTCCCACTACTGTCATGAACACACAGCGGCCGAAACGAACTCCATACCTTTTTCTCTGGAGAAAACCTTAGAGGTTCTACAATGTACAAGTCATCAGGACCTACTAAACAGGGGAGAGAGGGGGCAGGTTAACGGAATGGTATGGCAAACAATAACACAAAGCATGACAGCACTTGCAAGTAGTAGCTCAGGTCATACACTTCAAAGTCGGTTCTTTATGTCTGAAACTGTTATTCAATTGTAATACGCCCTGTCAAATCCTATTTCACTTGTTTCCCCACCAACAAAGTCTGCGTGTGGTAACCATGGCTGCAGCATTAATCGTTTACATAATGCTGTCATTTGGACACATTTAAAAGTCAAGTTTTGATTTGCATATCTCTATATGCGATAATTAATAATCCACTAAATGTGGATACCACATTTTGCTGTTGTTACTACTTGCAAATGTCCAACGTGTGCCAGCCAAAAGCATCATGTGCTAAAAATATCCAACCTCTGCCGTATGAACACAAACCAATGATGAGCTCATATGCTCCAACACACACTCACACACACGCTGCAGCAAAGTGAGAGGAAAAATAGCAGGAACAAAAGGAAACAAGAGGGATAGGAAGGTTCTGCCATTTAAAGAATGGTTCAGTTTATCTGGCAGTGTTTGCAGTTTTTAAATGTTATATTCAATATTCAATAAATATAATTAGATATTTCTATTTATTATTACATAATACATTTCAATAGTTTTAAATATCTCTATGTTGGTATTTAACAATATGAGAAATATTTTTTTAATTTGAGAAATAATACATTGACCTCCATTTTGTTCATTTTTTTCTCAATTTTAAATAAATAATAAATAACGCTAAATTAAAACTTTTAATCAACAGTCAGTTATGGCTTTTAAAATAAAATGTTTACTGCTTAAAGGAGTAGTTGACTTAAAAAAAAAAAAAAAACGATAATTTACTCACCTCCATGTCATCCAAGATGTCCATGTCTTTCTTTCTTCAGTCGAAAACAAATTAAGGTTTTTGATGAAAACATTCCAGGATTTTTCTCCCTAATAATGCACTTTACTGGTAACCAAACGGGTTACGGGTTATCGTGTCATTTGGTTTATTCAACGGACGAAATGAATGAATTGACTGGGGAAAAGATTCGTTCATTTTGATGAACGAGTTCGAACAGGAGTCACAAACTCACATCACAGAACAGAGCAAGGCGACCATTTGAGCTTATAAAACTTAAACTGTGTTATTTTTTTTTTTTTAAATGAGCGATCGTTTCACTTGATAAGACCCTTATTCATAATCTGGAATTGTTTAATGCCCTTTGAACAGTTTGCAGTTTGTACTGAAAGTGTCTTTTGGACCTTGAACCGTTTGGTTCCCAATAAAGTCCATTATATGGAGAAAAATCCTGAAATGTTTATCAAAAACCATAATTTCTTTTCGCCTGAAGAAAGAAAGACATGGATATCTTGGATGACATGGGGGTGAAGTTTTTTTTTAAAGTGAACTACTCCTTTTAAGCCTCTGGCAGGACCAAACATGAGGCATGACTGGGCTGACATTCAAATTACAAATCACACTGCGCTCCAGTATAGGTCACACTGATCTTGAACAATCACCAGAGACCGTGGAACTAGTGACAGCTGGACTCAAAACTAGTTCAAGCTGTAAAATGTTCGGTATTGTATTTAATATAAAAGACGCGATTCTTCTGAGAGCGGCAGCCAAAATGAGAGCACACAAAGTAAGCCACATGTTAAGTGGGAAGGCGTGATGTTAATGGGCATCATCTTGGCTTCTCAAGCTGTGAGAAATGAACATGGTGGAATTGAGTCTGGCTGAAAAAGACAGAACCACAGCTGAGTGAAACGATGTGCGTTACATGAGAGAAGGGGAGGAGTAGAGAGAATATATCGAGCGCTCTGGCATCAGAACTCTCCTCGGCGTCAAAGGTGACTCTTACCTTCTGATGTAGGCAGCTGAAATGACTTAGAGCGAACGAGAGGGCAAGAAACTCTCCGTTTCAGACTCATATCATCATATGAGGAAAAACACCTGAGAATGAGGAATAGAAAAAAAGATTCACAAAGGTTCACTACGCAAGTGACCAAATATTGCAGGGTTCCTCTGTCCATAATGTACATTACCGGTCAAAAACACTAATATTGTGAAATACATTAAAATAGAAAACTGTTACTTTGTAATAATATTTTAAAATAAATTTCATTCCTGTGATTGAATTTTCAGCATGATCCTTCAGAAATCATTCTAATAAGATGATTTGCTGCTCAAGAAACATTTATTATTGGCGTGATACTTGGCCCTGAAGAAGACCACCTGTGGGTCGAAACATGTTGGCTTGTGACTTTTTAGAATGAAATAAGCCATATTTAATAAAGGCTTTTTAACCTTGTCCTCCTTATCTACTTATTATAATGAGGAGCGCCTGGTTGAATCTCTTAAAGTATAAACATTTACTATTATTTTCAGTGTTGAAAGCAGTTTTGTTTAATGAACAGTTCAAACGAACAGCATTTATTTGAAAAAATAAATATTTTGTAACTTTAAAAATGATCATTTAATGAACCCTTGTTGCATAAAAGTATTTAATTATTTAAAATAAATAAATAAATAAATTAAACTGACCCAAAACTTTTAAATGGTAGTTTGTTGACACATTATCGTAACCTCCAATATTAAACTAGATGCGCTACTATTAATGGTGCCAGCTACAAATTAGTCAACAGTTTACTTTAACTAGCAAGAATTCTACACTGTTGTTAAAAAATAAATAAATAAGTAAATCAAAAGTAATATCAGTTCAAATCAACTCATAACAGCAATTGACGTGAAAGAAAACTGACCACAGGAGACGACAGTAATGGCCTCTAGAGAACTCTTTTAGTAACATTGCATTGTGTTATGCATTGCATTCGGACACATTTGGTGGGTGTTTTACCTCTTAGGGCTGGGGTAGTGGTTGCTCACGGGAATGACTGAGCTGGTGTTGTGATTGGGTGAGCTCCTGCAGCACTGCATACAGAGCAGCAATCCCAGCGTCAGACACAGGATCAGAGATAACACCAAATAACTCTGTCTGTCAGAAACCTGTAGCACACAGTGTACAGCAGGCTTTAAATATTGATACACATTACTGGGTGGGCCGTGATATGACTCATAAGATGGGGAAGGAATTATGTAAGGTTTGTAGACCTCTCGCTGGAGCTGAGCAACGGTGGCAGACAGGTTCAGCATGATCTTGGTGGCATTCTCCAGCTGGCTCTGCAACATCTGTATAGACTCGGTCTGTTTCTGGTCCTAAACACATACAGATGTAAATGGTTCGGTTATCCACGTGTTTTACAAGTAAAAAATGCTACAATGGGCCACACAAGATATCAGAACTTAAAAATGTATCAGCGGCATTTAACTAGGTGCAAAATATTAAAATAATTAACATTGTGAAACAAATTTGTCTCTTTTCTGAGTCGGAAAGTGTCATAAATGTTTTTTTAAAATTTAAAACAGTCTTTAATCAGTCTGTTTTTAATTTACATTTTTTTCCCAATTGGTTTGATAAATAACAGAAGATACAAGAGAAAAAAATCCATTAAATAAAAGCTAATTTTTTTTTGTCTTGGTTTTCTTTCCCATGTTGACTAAAATTTGAAAGTCCGGGGTCAGAAAATAGACTTTTATTTTAAAGAAATTAATACTTTTTATAACATAGATAATATTATTAAAAGTTTTATGAGCATCAAGTCAGCATATTTGAATGAGGATTGTGTGACACGGAATACTGGAGTAATGATGCTAAAAAAAAAAATAAAAAAAAATATATATAATAGAAATATATAATATATAATATATAAAATATATAATAGAAAACAGTTATTTTTACATATTAATTTTTCACAATATTACAGATCTTACTGTATTTCTGATCAAATAAATGCAGCCTTGGTCAACGTAAGAGACTTATTTTAAAATCATACAGACCACAAATGGTCACAGATGGTACTTTTCTATGAAAATAGGGTATTTTATTTTATATTTGAGTCCTTGTATATTCCAGTTGCCGATGTCAGTTTAAACGGCTAATGTTCGATCGTGACTGACCTGCTCTTCTGCAATTCTGGAGGTGTTCTGCAGTTTGATGATGGTCTTGTTGAAAGCCCGCTGCATCTCCTCCATCTGTTTGCGATACCTGAGTGACAGCAGAATAGAATAATAAGAACATGTTTCCCACTATAATCATCTTACAGTTTGGCAGCGTGTGTGTGTGTGTGTACCTCTGGCTAAGCTCCTCCAGATATCTGCTGCTGAGGGACATGTTCATCTCCAGTGCTTTAATTCTGTTGTTCAATCTCATGAACACTGATTCCTTCTGGTTAGATCCATGCACCTGATTCCCATTTCCATTCCCGTGTCCCATTTCCACCGATTGCTGCTGCTCTGCATAAAAGTCTCCGGCGGTGCGGTGCGGGAGCAGAATGTCATCTACCGCCTCCTCTTGTTGAGACAGAAGGACTTCGGAAAGCTCGGGTTGGGAGGCCACAGCACTGTGGTGAGGGTCTTCAGCCCCTGTGGCCCTGCCGTTATCTGAAGCCTCTGGAAGCGGGATGGGAAGTTCGGTAGGAGGCGGGATGTCAGCGGGGCGGGTGTGTGTAAGCATAGGCTGAACCGTCTGCTCTTTGGTGGGGACGGGAAGCTCCAGTATGGGAGGGTCCGTCTCTGGGCTGCTGGTTTCAGTGGTGGTGGAGGAGAGCATTGAGGAGGTGGGAGACTGGGCGCTACTGCAGATGCTCCCACTGGCGCGGGTCTCTGGGATGTCCACCGGGTACTGCGGATGTTGGTCCACAGGCTGTCCCACAGGAAGGGACTCGGGAATGTTTTGGGTGGGGGTGTCGGAGAAGCTATGTGGGGGAAGAGTGGAGGTGTGGCTGGGCTCCAAGATGATGGTCTCAGGTGGGAGCTCCCGCTCGCTCTCTGCAGATTCCCAACTGGAGGACTGAGGCGGAGCAGCCACTGTTTCAGTGGGGGAAATCCTTTCGGTTTGTGCTTGAGAGGGGCGCTCTGCTTCTGGAAGTTTTTCAGAGGGCGCAGGGGGCTCTTGGGTTGGGGTGGTGGCAGAGACGGACTGCTGAGGGGCAGTTTGAGTGTCTGTGTCAGTGTGTGCGTGCTGTGTTTTGTGGCGGCGGTCTCTACGCTGACGCTGCAGTGCTAAAGCTGCCGAACAGTAGCAGTAGAAGTGTTCGTGCAGAGACGCTAAGCAGGACAAAGTCGAGAGGTGGCCGCAATATGTGGCGCTCTCCGTCTCCCATATCTCCTCTGGTCTTTTCTCCTCCTCTTGCTCCTCCTCCAGCAAGGTCACCGTTGGCTGGGTGACCTCTTCATCCTCCTCGATGAGGATGACGATACGGCTCTCCTCGGGGGGAGGTTCTGAAGGAGCTTCAGGAACAGGATCCTCTGAGTCGTCCTTCACTAGAGTAGGATCCAACTCAAGAATATCCAGCCTGGATGTACAAAGGAGGATGTTTTTGCTCAAATCGCTTGTTTAATGTTATCCAATATTGCACAACATTTTGTTTCTTACATAGAGTCTGAGCACAATTCATTTTTTTTCGAGGAATACCCAACGATGAAAATTCCATCATTTTATCAGAAGAAAGAAAGTCGTACCAGATTATAACTACATAAATTTGATGACATTGACCAGGAATCACAATGAAAGGGGACAAAAGCTGTAAAGCTAGTAAAAATACACAAAAGCCAGGATTATTACTAACTAAAACTATTTCAAACCGATTTCGGTAATAAAGATAAAATTAAATACAAATGCTTGATGAAAAAAAAAAAAAACTTAAAACGTTATTTTTTTTTTTGTACAATTACTAAAATTATATAGAATAAAATCTACATAGAAACATTTAAAAATAAATAAATGGTAATAAAAATATAAAATAAAAATTACTTAACTTTAAAATATAAAAATAAAAGCCAATTCAAAATATTATTAAGTGCAATAGTATATAAAAATACTACAGTAACACTGGCAATGGAACAACAAATATAAGATATCTTATTCACCTTGTGGACTCTATTCCAAGTGTTATGAAGTACTATGATAAACTTGTGAGAAACGGACCAAAATTCATCCACATTCACTGACAATATAATTACTATAAATATTAATTAAAAAAAAAAAAATAAAAACCTGATGTACCGGTACTAATAATGTCTACTCAAGTGAGTTGCTAGCTGTTGCAACCAGATCAACTGAACACTGATAAGATTTGACTCAAAAATAACCATTTCTTTTGAGAAATGATTCTTTCAACCCTAATGAAACATTGCTATCGCTCTCCTGAAAGTGCGAAGTAGAGCAAAAAAGCGTTAGTTGGGTTTGAAAGGGTGAGTAAAGGGGACAGAACTTAAATTTTTCTGTGAATTCAATTTGAATATACTTTACTTTCAGCTACCAACAAGATCCCAAACTCAATTTACCACATTAAATTTAGCAGATTGAATCTGGGCCTGAATATGAGGCAGCTACAGTTCATTAGGGTTTTATAAGCTTGAGCTGTTTCAGAAAAAGGACTCCGTGGTTGACTCGGTATGTGTGCAAACAGTTCAAACCAGTCTGTGCTGGAATACGGTGACTAGCTCAGGGCTCAGTATTGAGCAAGCGTTTGGGGTTTTAATGTGCTGGATGATCAGGGGGTGTGTAAGAGAGAGAGAGATAGTGTACGTGTGTGAATGAGACTCACGTAACGGGCTGCTCAGTGGGGGTGGGATCTGGTGTGAGTGTGGTTTCTGTTGAATCCTGGGTGACGTTTTCTGTCCCAGAGGAAACGTTTCCTGAGCGAGATGAGAGAGAGAACAGATTTTGACAGTGAGAAAAGCACATCCAAACTGCCCAACCTCAACACAAAGAGGACCGTTGTTCAGAGAAAAGTACCAAAGATTGAATACACAAATACAAATGTGCCCCTAACTAAAAACAGGTGATCATCTCAGAAAGCTTGAAATTATATAATGCTTGGCATGGATTAAGCGTATCCAGAACAACAAGGACATCTAAAAGAAAACATGGCAGAGACAGCAGCTTTGGAATAGCAGGCAGTTTATGAATTCTTGTCACATGTCATAAAAGAATTAGGAAGATTGCCTTATCTTGAAGATTTGTGTGAAAAACATTAAGTTACTTTCAACTAACAACTTATGCCACAAAGGCTGCCGAAACCATCTAGCCTGGCTCGTGAATATTAATTAGGTGATGTAATATTCACCAAGTAGTTATAACTAATTTGCTGAAATCCAGGTAAGTGGATTCTAATCCTACTTAGATTAAGTTGTTGTATGTAGCTAAAAAACAACAACATGTGTGTGTGTGTGCGCTGCAGTGCAGGCAAGTAAAACAAAGCTCTTATAACATGAGGATCACTGACCAGAAAGCAACTTCTAAATTATAATGGTTGCGATGCACATGGATGCCAAAATATTCAGGGAAGTTTTTCTGAAAAGATTAAACCTGCCAGTAAAGGTCCTGTCATTTTATTGGTATAAATTTGGTCATTATTTGCTGCCATAAATAAATCGTATTATGCATTATATTGTCTATTGACCACTCTACGGTCTAGATATTGGTATCGGCTTTTTAAAAACTCAAGCACAATGTAACAGTCAAAAGAAAAATAGCCCATTGCAAGCTTTCCTTTTACAAACTTAGTATAAACTTTCAGCCATCCACTCGACTGCAATCTCTCAAGGGACATTGTAAAAATATCTTGTTAAACGGTCTTCTCTCTTTTAGACGGTTTATGGCATAGTGTTTTTAAACTTCACTGCATTTAGGAAAGCCACATGTATGTTTGAACAGCATTTTGTAGCAGCTCTCTCTGGACACACACACACTCTGGGGGAGTTTAATGCTGGCAAACACAGCTACAGAAGCTATCAAAGACGTGCTTTCACTGGCAGGCCTCACAGTTTCAGCACTGTTGGCATGGTGACAGCCCTCACCAGTCACAAACAGCTGCCAAGCAAAGAGGAGCAAATAAGTGCAGTAATTTCTCCGGACAAACTCAGGACAGGGCATTTTTAATAGCCAAGCGCAAGGCAGAAATCAGGGCCGTACCTTCCATTTCAGCTCCGTCCTCCAGCTCTGGTTTCCCTCCAAGCACATTTGCTGCAATGTTGTTTACCATGTTCAGGATGGCGTCTAAAAAGAAAAACAATCCAGAGAAAAGTAACTAAAAATATAACATTGAGGTAAATTTCCGACAGTGGCAGCACACAAACTGAATTTCTGTATTCAGAAAAGCAAAATAAATCTAATGATAATTGCCCAAAGGTGATGAACTTTTTAATTATTGCGGAAGTAGGAAGTCTGCGTGTCAGTATGTGTATTGTGATGTCAATTTATTCTTTTGGTTATAATGTCATTTGGTCTTATTTATTATCAATCAATAAATTGTGTTGTGAATAACATTTACTGATAAATGAGTGCTCCGCTTAGGGACTGGCAAAGCACAGTGTGCATGTGCACAAATCATCTAAGACATACGTTTTTAGTAAATCACACATTATGTGTTATAATGTTTAATAAAACTGTCATTGAAACATTAACCGCATAAAACATTTAATTAATTGCATGTGCTAGTGTTATTATATACTATTGTAGTATTTATTCATATTGTGAATTAGATTCGTTTTTAATTTTGTAACTAATGTGATTTTAGTATTTTTTCATATTTCTACTTAGCTATCCTCTATTTCTATTTTCAGTTAAAATAAAAGACCTTCAACTGAAACTTTTTATTTTACCTAGTGGCCAAGAAAACATTCCGTATTTTCTAAGATTATAAGTGTCTAATTGTCTAATATTCATATTTTATTTCAGCTGATTTTCATTTGAAGAACACTTTAAAAATACACACCTAAACATTTACATCCTGCTCCATGCTTAGCATGAAACTGGTTCATCAAGTGTGTGTGTTTGTGTGTGTGTGTAAGAAAGGAGGAACAATATTTGACAAGACAAGTCTTGGATGGATATTGAAAACACAAGTTTTACAAGAACTTGGAACTGGGGCAGGGGGCAAACAATTTCCTTGAATGCTGAAGTTAGAGCAGGTTTAGGAGTTTTGAGTAAAATGCAATGTTATCAACTAAGATTGATTCGAGGAAACTGGGATTCTCACATGTCAATAATTATTATGTCAACCATTTCTGGTCATTCTATAGCTTTGGTTAATCTAAATTCCACTGCTTAGAGTGTGTAGTCATGTTTGAAAGACATGGGTGAAAGCTGTTGACTCTTCTTTGTAAGTCTCTGACAAAAACATGTTGCCCTGATTCAGCGTCTACGGTCATGTGACATGCTGCCAGGCTATATGTCAGTGTCATTATTCTGATGTTTTTTTTTTGTAACTTTCGTAAACATCCCTCACATCAGATCGAATTTTGCTTTCCTGTCAGACATTATACTGTGATCTTCAATTGTGCACGTATGGCGGCGCGTGCTGTACATCACTTCACTATAAAGGGCTAAAGAAATTATGAGCACGCAATGTCATAGTTACATTGTCAATTAATAAATCATTAAATTATCAAAGAGTACCAACACATTAAACAACTGGTACATTGTGTTAGCTGGTGTGGATTCTTATTCAAGTATTATGAGTACTATGTGTATTATAGTGTGCATATGTTTTATTAACAGTTCATGTTAGTATTTTGTAACTATTTTTGATGACTGTGGTGGCTCATACCAACTTACTAACTATATAGTATTAAGAAATACTAGTTTGGGACTGCTATTTACCATTATACATCAGTGTTAGTGATACAATGATACAAAAGTGACACTATAGTCGTACAATTTGGGTGTATGTTAAGTCAAGTGGGACAATATTTGTGTGTGTCAACCATTTTTGAGAAATAAATTAGCTTAGTTTAAAGGGATACTCTGCTTTTTTTGGAAATAGGCTCATTTTACAACTCCCCCAGAGTTAAACAGTTGAGTTTTACCGTTTTCGAATCCATTCAGCCGATTTTCTGATATTTAGAGGAATATCAGTAACCAGACAGTTTCTGGTCTCATTGACTTCCATAGTACATTTTTTTTCCTACTATGGAAGTCATTGAGACCAGGTACTGTCTGGTAACTGATATTCTTCTAAATATCAGAAAAACGTCCAAATGCATTTGAAAACGGTGAAACTCAACTGGGGGAGCTGTAAAATGAGCCTATTTCCAAAAAAAGTGGAGTATCCCTTTAATGCCCATGGGAAAATGTGGGTCCCATGTCCAAACCAGCTGAGAACCAATGATTCACTCAATGGACATACTTGTGGCAGAGCCTAGCAGATTCTTTGATGCCTTGTCCTCTGACGGCATGTAGCCGGGTGGGTAATCTGCAAAAAAGAAGTCTGGAATTAGGACAACAGCATTAGTCAATGAACACACAGAACAACTGAGAAAGAGAAAACAGAAAAATATAGTCTTGTGCCTAATTTAAACGATTAAAGTCTGCCATACAGTAGTGCATCTAACAGAAGGAAAGTAGTGTTTACGATTATATTACAGGACAAACGTTACGCCATATTCAATAAATGTCAATGTATCGAAGTTTAGAGTGCTTGTTCAGTACTGTACACATTGTCACCCATGTCATTTGTTTTCTGTGAGCAAGAATTCAGAGAGATGATCTCACCATAGTCTTCATCCAGATACTCGGTTCTCTCTGAGGTGTACTGAGAGTCGGCTATCTCGTCATACTCTTCCACCATACTGGTGCCAAACACCCTGATATACACAAAGATACACACAAGAAACACAAAGATCAGATACTTGGAAGTCTAAAATCCAAAAAACCCCCCAGTAAAAATAGGATAAAAACAGCATAGGAGGGGAGTCATAAACAATTTCTAAAAATTACAAAGCGTTTCTGTATTATCTTAAAGAACACAGCCTCAGTACAGATAAGAGAACGACAGGCCTCATAACGAGAAATATTAACGTAAAGCCCACTGTGATCATCAGCACAACTTATCTCTGCCTTCTACAAACAACTGTAATCACTTTGCCCTTTGCCTAGGTTAGTGGAGGTCTTTAAAGACATGTTTTATAGCCTGTTCTACTCCACATGCAGAGGAGGTAATTGCAGTGGAAGAAAAATAAAGACAGATATTCAGTGAATTGACCAGTCTCAGAAAATAGGGAAGTGGGAGTTTGGAATACAAGTTATGCCATTTGGAATACATTTAGAAAGGACTTTTATTTTTTCCTTTCTATCTGACCGTAGAGTTTTGCTTGCCTCTCACAGTATATACTAGGATACAGTCATTTTCTAGGAGAGTATGTCTCTCCCAGAGTGCAGCCAGACCAGCCCCTTTATGGGCCTCTGACCAAGATTAAATCTCCTGCCAATGCAAACAGACCTGAGCAGCCCGAAGCAGAACAGAGATCTAACTCAACTCAAGAACTTTGCCTTTTAAAACCTTTAAAACCCTTATAAAGCCATGTGTCCTTTCTCTGAGTCAATGAAGCAAGTACAGGTTCATAAAATCAGAATCGACCTGTTTCTCAATACAGAATACCGCTGACGCGCAGGATGCTTTGGTTAAAGATATGGTCTGACTGTTATCAAGACGCTTTCTTAAAACTCCAGGAAAACATATTTTTTGTATAACTATTTGATGTGCAGGTTTTAATATTACACAAAAAAGAAAATTGTCACAACATGACAACAAAAAAATCAGAAACAAACTTACATATGCAAGTTTGCAAGCGCTGCAAGCCTGTTGTACATATACTACCGTTCAAAAGTAGTATGAATGAAATTAAAACTTTTATTCAGCAAAGACACTTTTAAAATGCATCAAAAGTGACACTGAATACATTTATAATATTACAAAAGATGTTCACTTTAAATGCTGTTCTTTAAACTTTCTATTAGGGGTGTGACGACATACTTAGCTTACGAGATGATACACAATATACAGTACTGGAATTCATTCACAATAATTCAACACACCTGATCAGGCTGAGTGGACAGAAGTGTTCAGAGCCGAAATGGGACAGCAGCTCAACCTAAAAAAATAAAATAAAAAGACGAGCACGCTCAAACATGGTCATGAAACAAAACCAAACTGAATCTCATAGATATATACACTAGATGTTGCCTTGGCTACAGCAGTTCATTAGAACGAATGCGTCAACAGAGCCGCCATCTTGGAACAGGGGAGCCCCTCCACTATTACCGTCAATGTAGACAAAGGTCTAACCGAAATAAAATCACCATAAATCATCATGAATGCGATTTTCTCTGGGTTTTTTTGGTTCATTCCAATGGCCAGACATGTATTTATCATTGATTCCAAAAAAAAAAAATTTTTTTTTTTTTTAAACATTCTTACTAGTTCAGATTTTATTTAGCCCACTGCCATTCATTAATTCGAAGTAAAGGCAGAGATAGCAGCGTTACCTAGCTGCTTCCTATGACAAGACCCCTGTTCCAAGATGGCAGCGGTTTTGACGCATGCTTAGAACCCCAAGGTGACGTCTAGTGTATGTCTATGACTGAATCTAACATTGTCCAATGTCCCAATACCGTCCAACAAAATAAAGTACACATTTAGTGCTGGAGTATTAGCAAAGCATGATTTTTCCCTTTTAAGTGTGAGAAAAGATGTGTATTTGTGTGCAAGGAATTGTCACTGTCATGCATTACTCTACGTGAGTCCTGCCACCCAAATCAGCACTGACAGGATCTGAGAGAAAAGAATGCTAACCTTGATGTATTTGATGAACATCTGATGCAGGAGGAGAAGACAGGAGAGAGCGGAAACAAAGAGAAACAGAGAGGAAGATCAGTTTAAAAGACTTGATTCATGCTGTAGCAGGTCGAGCATTTTGAACTGTTCTTGTTTGTTCTGCTTTCATAACTTGAGCAGCGGTACCAATGGCAGGAGAGAGGGCTGGCTGAGAGAAAGACTGCAATCAGAGCCACAAAGTGGGGAAAAGAGCAGGGGACAACAAGTAAACGAAAACAAAAAGGAAAACATTCAAATAATAAACTACACAAGAGTCGAAAAGAACATGACAGAACAGGTTTAGGGCAGCTCAATAATGGCAAAGCATCAGTGGTTCTTCTTGACATGTTACAGCAGATAATTAAATGATCATCCAGGAACACATAAATCAGATTGAGTGAAAATAAAAATAAAGATTAAAAATAAACAGCAAAGCACAGCACCAAGCAAGAGGCACAGTTAGGATCCCTGGAGTTCATTCAAAAGATACAAAAGCATACAAATTAGAAATAAATCTGTGTCCCAATTTTGTTTAGGTAAATACTTTTTATGCGCCCCCCACACACACACAGAATACTGGACTGTTTATCCCAACTGAATCTGCACATTTCTTTTGCCTTTTAGCTCTCAAGTATTAATACACTGACATAGACACACAGACCTCAAATGCAAATCTACAAGTCATGAATGTGTATTCAGCATTGTATACCAACCCATATTTGATCTGAACAGTACAGTACAGAGACTCTAAGACCTGAGGGAAGGGCACGGCTTCTCTCAAATGACTAAACTGTCCCCCCCTTTACAGTGTTGGGAAAGTTCACTCTTTACATGAACTAGTTCAAAGTTCAGTTCACACATTTGAAAATGAACTAGTTCAGTTCATAGTTCATACTTCAAATATCAACTTTTTTCCATATGTTGCGAGCTTTTTTTGTATTATTATTGCCACAGCCCATATACAACCACAGACAACAATTATTTTATCGACGGGCAAAGTTTGCACAGAAATGTAAGATTTTTCCCATCCTCACCGACCTCGTCATAAAACCCGTTTAAATGATCATACGACGCCTCCTCCTCACTGCTTTGTCGACAGCGGCCGCAGTGCAACACTGGTGTCTTGTGTTGCCAGATTGGGTGTTTTTTCTCTAAATATTAAGGCCTGTTTACGTGCGTTTTAGCCAGGTTTTTCGCCTGGAAGTCTCTATAGGAATCTGGCACCCTATTGTACAAAGTTAAACTGAGAGAGCGTGCGTTCACAGACACCAGAATGAACGCATTCACAGTAGCGTTCATCAGGCAGTACGTTCAGTTCACGTTCACCTCAGGCACAACACCGCCCCTTGCCTTGCCTCTTATTCAGCAATAACCTTAAAAACACACTTTCATGTAATCCAAGATCATAGATCTTTTGTTGTTTAGATCATAGGTAACGTGTGTGATCCATTTAAAGATCTTCATGATTCAAATGTTACAGTATATAGACGCATCAGAGCACAGATCTGTGACTTCATGCTTTATCCTATTAATTAAATAAAGTTACAATAATTTTTATTTTAAATGTGATTCACTTTTCTAATCCTTCCCATTAAGTGTTTAGACATAACTAACAAAAAGCAGATGTGCTACCAACTACATTTGTCAGGAATGTGTGGATACCTCAGAATGTGTACTGCGAACAGAGCCATGCAACAAAATGAGCAGGAGAAATAAGGAAACACACCCTTCCTCGAGTTTCCACTTTCAAGGAAATTTTACAATCAAGTAGCTTTGTGAAGATTGATTCATTTGAGCACATCCTTTTACCTTGACATATTTGGCATAGAGTTGCTCATCCAGAGGGAAACTCTGTACTGTGCGTTCATCACGGGCGTGAAAGGTGCCCAGCTTGATCCACTTATTGGTCGGATACCTGAAGTTAAGAAAAGTTGAAAAAAGTTGGTGTTAATGTAATACAATCTCCCAACCAGGCAAATTGTGATAACATTTCAGCAACAAAGCAATTTGTCCGTCCACACTGAATGGGAAAATGTGATGCGACAAAAATCACAACCAACCACAAATTACTCGATTTTTAATGTGAGGCAGGATTTGAAACAAATGACATATCACTGTAATTAATGAAATGTGATGCAGTTTACCAGAATAAAAATTCACATCCACAATGGAGAGATCAGTCCACCCATCAGATTGTGCCTGTTAGGGTTACTGAGTGTCTGTGTCAGTGATGTTACCTGTCACTTATGGACACAAGGAAATCTTTCGGCGTAGATGAGAACAGCTCAAAGTTTGCTATGTCCAGCTGCTTCACTTGGATTGGCTCACAGAGCTCAATTACAAACCTGCATTGGGAGATTGAAAGAGGAAATAAAGGGGAAAATCTGAGTGCACAAATAAATATATCAACTTGTATATTAATGCTGCCAAATCGTTTAATCGCATCTAACATAAAAGTTTGTGTTTACATAATATATTGCGTGACGAGACACTTATCTCACGAGACAAGACGAGATTGGGTTCACAATAACGAGATGAGACGTGATTAATCGGTTTGACAGCAATATATACATTTGTTATATATTTGATAGGTAAATTTGTATATGTTATATGTTCCTTGTCTGATCATTTATCTTCAAAGGTTTTTAGTTCCTTTTAGATCTTCTTAGATTGCAACAAATAAACTTTCTGGTGCTATTATCACATCCGATTAAGGGTGCATGCCGGTAATAGTTAATAATAATGATAATCATTATAAAATTCAATTATTAAATCACAATTGAGACATTTCTTTTTTACATTCAATCAAATTTATTTATTTATTTGCACTTTCATGCAAGCAAAAATCAAGAAAATACTGTACATTTTTACATTTATTTTTAGTAAATTTACATTTACTGTAAACTTTATTTTATTACACATTATGAAAACTGGTGAAGATTCTCTCAAAAGCTAAATCAGTGAAATTACAAATATTAATTATAGCAATTCCAAATTATTTGAACGTTTTTCTATTTAAAAAAGACTTTGTATTGAAGCAAATAAGTTGCATAAGTGCATTTATTCAGCAACCACAATAGCAAGAATATAGTCGTCGATTCATGTTTGGATTACAGTTCACCGCTAAAAGGTTTGCTTGCAGATTTAGTCACAATAAACAGCATGTGTGAAGTGGCCATGTGATAAGCTGCATTAGTTTATCTAAATGGAGATGTTCAACTCAAAATCTGCATGTTTGTTGCCGTTTTCAGATAATTAGCGCTTTATTTGCAGTGCAGAGAGATGCCAGGTTTGTAAGATTAAGTAAAACACTTGTATTGAGAGAAAATATATCCATTTCAGCGAAAAGAGGGATTTAAGCTCTTGACATCTGGCAACCCTAATCATGAACCCTGGAGGCTTGTTACAAAGATAATGTATTATGTCAAATGGAAAAAAAAAATATATATATATATAAAATGGGAAAATAGATTATGCTTAATCGAGAGACTTAAATCATAAGCAAATTAAAATATGATTAATTATACAGCACACGTCTAATTAATTCAATTAAAGTAATCCTAAAAATAGAATCGTTAGCAAAAGCTGTTTAAAACAGATGGAGATTAGAGTCTCTCTCACCACAGGACATGTCAACATCCTAATAGCATTTTCGATCTTACACAAACAGGAAAAAAGCCACTTTAAAACAGAAATGAGCAGCTGCTGCAGTCAGTTTCTCTCTGTATCTGCAATGACTCACCAGATCTTGGTACTGCAGGGGTTCAGCATGTACAGATCCATATTCTCCATCAGGATAGCAGATGTGCTCTGAAAACACAATACACAGACACACTTATGTAAGACAATTGCTAATCTAGAGCTGATCAATAACATTTCAAATGCAGGAACAACAACAAGATATTAAATGATTGTCCTATTTAAATCCATCCATCTCTCTATCTGCCCCATATGCTGTTTTGCTGCCTCTTGTGCTGTACCTTGGCCTCATTGTTCGCCGAGAGGATTTTGGCCCCACATTCGACAGAAGCGTAGTTATTCTTGAAATTCTTTTGAACCTTTTTGACAGGATGAGGGCTTCCATTTGATGAAGTGTGCAGAGACTGACCTGAAACCAACAAAACAGGTTACATATACTGTAGGTCCTCTGTCAAATGCTTTATCCCATGGTTCGGGTTGGCTTAGTTTGAGTGTTTTCATGCAGGTGGGTATGTTTATCTGCCAATTACTGTCTGAAAACAAAAGAACGACTTATCTTGATGTATGCATAGCATGCATATACACATTCACTATCTTTAACAGATAACCTAATGGCAAAATTGTTGGATTTTAACTACCAATAACGTCTGTCACAGCCTAAAGGTGATGACCTTTAGTAAAAGAAGCTATTCATTTACATTGTGCTGATTACAACTTGCAAAAACAACCTGAAAAGGCAACCTTTGTAGCGTGTCTTTGTAGCTGTGGACCCCACTGACTGAAAGCAGAGACAATAATTACATTTTCCAAATTTGTTTTGAGATTGTAGCAGGTCAAGCAGCCCCAATCCAGACCCACAGTATTAAGGAAACTGATTGAATTTCAGTTGTGTGATTTATGCTGGCCGCATAAGCCTCGCTTGAACTCGACTTCTATGGGCCTGGAGTGAGTTCTCTCTAGTTTTATAGGCTGCACTGCATCCGCTAAGCAATGATGATAAAGGTCAATTAAAACACTGTTAAGCTAATGGCTGTTAATTTGTTAACTTTGCTTTCTGAATCAGCTGGGAAAATCCAGACTCTCTAGTCTAAAGCAATGGTTAAACTGCTCAGATTGCCGTGAGCATGAACATCAAGTTTTGTTACTGTTGTTTTGCGGTGTACTGAAGCAATCCATTACAGCAGCTTATACATGTGCATACTGGGTTACGCAACATTCACTGTGCACACAGTTTCCACTGAACTGACAAATATGAGCATTTGCAGAACAACATTATTACAGGAGCAAGAAAAAAAGATGAAAAAAAAAAATATGATGAAAAGAGAGGGACATCTCTGTGAAACCAAGCAGAAGTGGGTCCTAATGGAAGTGCGTGTGAGTGTGCACTGATGCGGAAGAAACACGGAGACAGCCTCGCATGCAACGATTCTCTGATGAACATGCAGCTCTGTGAGCATGCACGTGACTCAGTGCCATCTCTTACTTTTCTTCTCCTCTACTTCCATCACTTTCTTCTTCCACTCATCGAAGGTGGGGATGTCTTCTTTACTGGGCACTGGAGGGTCTGGACTTCCCTCGTGGTCCACCACCTGCTAAAAAAAAACAAAAAAAAAACAAACCTCAATTATAGTGACAACTCAACCTTCCTCAGTCCTAAACCTGTAAAATGCATGTATTTCAGCTGCACTATGCTGGGTAGATACAGCCAATGTGAAATTGGTAGTGGTTTAGAATCCATATAACTGTATATGAAACATTTCTAATATTCTAATATATTCTAATACTGCTTTTCAGAGGAAGACATTTGATTTTAAGATTCATTAAAATAGAAAACAGTCTAAATTGTAATATTTTCCAATATTACTGCTTTTAATGTATTTTTGATAATGTATCAAATAAATGCAGCTTTGGTCAGACTTCTTTCTTACATGCACACATACACACTCCATATAAGGTCTAAATGGCTTTATGCACTCATCTAATTGACCACTGTTCCCCAGTACGGAGAAGTGTCAAAATTTGACCCTCCTCTCTCAACCAAAATATCCTCTTTCATACAATTTCTAATTTACACTGGGGTTCAATGAGCAGTGAGGCTCGTTCATGACTATATTATGCAAATGCTACATGAAACAACAGTTCTGTGTGAAAATTCAAAATGTCTACATGATCCTTCCTTTTTTAAGGTGGTCTATCGTTCCGTCTCCCCATCACTATCCCTTTTTCTTTTCCCCTTATATCTATGTCTGTCAGTGCCTAAACAGCAGCGCTGAGTGTGCGTTTGGTTGATTAAACATTTACAAGGTTGTCGGCCCAGTGGAAAATAAACATGCTGATGTACCCAATCCCACCTCTCTCAGCCTACTCCCTCTCTTCTGCCTTTCTCTTCCCCTTTCATCTTCTCTATTTAGGGTGCAAGTGTCAGAGCGGCTTTACAAGAGAGGAGGGAATGTTTTAGCTCTACAGATCTTTTAACAGCAGGGTGTGGACGGGCTCAACGGTAACCAAATGCAAACCCATTCACTATTTACATAATGGGGTAAAAGGTAGGGAGAGGAACACTGCAGGGTGCAAAATGTAGTGAGTATTGTCATCATGTTCTGTTAGGTGGCGTATCCTCAAGGAAAACAAAACAAGGAAAATGTATCAGGGCTTAAAATGCTTCTAAAAAACACATTATACCTTCTAGCTCCATTCCTGAAATCTACAAGACTACGTCATTATAGAAAAAAAACAACTCTGAATAGATAATCTGCAAAGCCACTATGAAGTAATACACATCTTAGAAAGATGGAAATCCATTTAAAGACATTTATAAGGTTACAAAAGATTTATATTTTAAATAAGCTTTTGAACTTTCTATTAAAAGAATCCTGAAACAAATAATAACCAGTTTCAGCAAAAACACTGTCTCAAAATTTTTTGAGCGGTAGTGAATATTAAAGTTACATTTTAAAGTTGATTAGCAACTGCAAACAGTACTATATTGAAGACAAATTGGTATTTTGATTACAGTATAATTAATAATACATTTAATTGTTTATTGAACGTGTGTCTATTCTATAAGCTCTATTGCTTCCATTATATAAAAGCATTACGCCATTATTCATCTGCGTTAAAGTGATTTTATCGTGTGTAAGGGAGTTTTAGTCTTGAAGGTATTTAATTTATTCCCTCCCATTTTTGCAATTACTTAGCAATGTGAGATTAGTCTGACAAATGTACTTGCAGTGTGTACCTGCGGGCTTTCTGTAGGTGGAAGGATACTGTCGGTCTGCCCCGTCTCTGTGAGGTCCAGCTCACTCGGGACCAGAGAGGCAGTCGGGTCAGCACTGGTCTCTGTACTCTGTCCCAAAGTGGTGGACTGGTTCTCTGCATGTTCCTCCACAACACTATTGAGAGCAAGTAAAGAGAGGAAAGGGTGGGGATACATTAATGGGTTGGTATATAGAAAAACAACAACAAAAAAATATTTGTTCACTCAAATGACAAGTTAAACAGGAATTAAAATGGTGTATCATGGCATTCGTGGGGGGGGAATGAAATGAGAAGTAAAAAAAAAAAAAAAGAGCAAGGCAGGATGACGAGCCTTGATGTGCCTGAAGAAGCTCCGTTACTTGGTCAACCATCAGTTACCAAGTCACCTAATGTAACGCAAGTACTGTAGTTGTCACTATGTAACCTGCTTTGTTACCTGTCGTTTACCTGTTGCTCTGTACTCACCTGGTGAGTGTTGTGTCAAGGGGTTGACTGAAGGGGGGCACAGAGCCCACCTCACACTGACTGGCACTAGAGTTCTCTACGGGGGCATCAGGATGCGGAACGTCTAGTCCACTGAAGGAAAGAAATCATATGCCGTTTACCAAAAGAAGGGAAAGATAGGGAGGAATTGGAGGGAAACTAATGGAGAGAGGGGGCTACAAAGAATAAGAGAGAGAGAAAGAAATCTGTCTGGATCCAGGTACGGATTGAAGCCTGGTTCATTTTGATCTGTGGACAGTTTCTATCTTACTGGTTTATTACATTTTAAAGGCCCATCTAGCTAAGTGCACACCGATATTGTCTTTTTTGGGTCCTTGTTGAAATGGAAGATTCATAAATGCTCCAAGTCCAGAAAAAAAAACAAAATTAAAACGAGCCATAGAGGTCTAGTAAAGAAGGAGAGATACACTATGATGCAATTTTAAAAAAATGGTGCAGTTCCAAAGAAGGTGCGACATGAAGTCCATAAAGTGATGACCGTGTGCTTGGATGATTCAAATTCAAAGTCTGGATGCAGAAATGGTGTCACAATGAAACAATAAGAAAACAAAATGAAAAGAAATGCGAATATAGAAAATAAATAGTGAAGACAATCATTCAAAGTTCCCACCCTCTCCTCTCCCAAACTGCTGTGTGTACTCACCTGGAGGGGCTCTCGGAGGAGGAGGCTGAGGTAGGTGAGGCCGGCTCTGGGCTCTTCTGGAGTTCAGCAGCAGGTGCAGAGGGGTCTTCTCCGTGTGGGTCACTCTGTGGAGGGGTCAAAGCAGTGGTGGCATGGGCAGCCTGGTCCTCTGTTGCAGTGGCCTGTGGAGTTTCAGGGTCTGGCTGGGTCTGGGACAGATGCGGTGCTGTTTGGGGCTGTGTGAGTGTTGGTGGTTGAGCTGACTGCTGTTGTTGGTCTTGTTGTTGGGTGTTCTGGGGTTCTGGTTGCTGCTGCTGCTGTTGTTGTTCTAGCTCAGGGAGAGCAGAATCAAGCTGAATCTGCTGATCCTCCAACACTTCTTCTAAATTCACAGTCTACAAGGACAGAATCACAGATAAACGGATTAACAATTAGGCAACAGAAAAAGGCTCTTAGTGAAAAACATCATGACTATGATTTGGTTGTAGACGTGAGGTGGAGGATCACAGCAAGAGTGCAACAGTTCTGGTAAAAAACAGTAAAAATAACATTCATTTTTCCAATAAGTTAATTGATTTTTAACTTATAATATAAACTGTTAGATTTCTCCATAATTTAATTGTCATGTGCAACTCTGCACAAGATTGTAGTTATTTCCCTCATTGAAGCTGTTAACACAGTCTAGTAACTCTTGTTGAATTTACTAATTCTTCTTTTTTAAAGCTACACTGTGTGATTTTTACCCCCATCTAGCAGTGAAAAGGTATGACCATCCAGTGAATATTAGTTTCTGTTCCTCTCAATTCTGATTTCGTTTTAACTCCTACGGTGGCCAATGTAGTCCAAGATTAACATGGCTTCCAGTTGGACCTCGTTCATGAGTGTTAACTCAAACGTAAACGCGAAAGATGTACTTTCAAGATGGAGGGGCAACATGGCGACCGACATTAGAACCCCTCACCCGTATGTATTTTCAATAGCATATTATACACCCACGAGAATACTTTATTACTTGAACGAAGTAAATATACATTAATGAGCACATATATTTTTGAAAGAACTAAGTGTTTTTAGCTAAGAATAAACTAAAAGAGTTACACAGTGTAGCTTTAATGTTATTCTAATGTTGCGATTTACCTTGTGGTTGGTTGGTTTGGTTTATGGCTTATAACACTTTAATAAATCCCTATGGGAAAAAAAATAATGGAAACCAAAAGTGGCAAAAGTGGACAAGCACTGTATTTAATGGTAACTCATAACTCAAGTATTTTTTGAAAAAAGCCATAAACATTTAAAGTCAAAGAAAAAAAGGTAACAGTTTAGTTTAGGGTCCAATTCTCGCTATTGACTAGCTGCTTATTAGCATGCATATTACAAGAATATTGGCTGTTTACTAGTACTTTTAAAACACATATTAATGCCTTATTCTGTATGACTAGCTTATATTCTACATCCCTCAATACCTAAACTTAAGAACTACCATACTAACTATTAATAAGCAGTCATTTTTGGGGGAGCAAAAGTCATATTTAATGGTTAGTTACTATTGTGAATTTGACCCTTATCTAGGTGTGACCGAAAAAATAAATTGAAACAAATACAGGATTTTGTGTGTCCTATCCATCGAGTCGCATATGTGGGTCATACAGTATGTAACAGAAGAAAACAGATATGGCGGTTGGATTACGCGGGCACCTGTTTGTGCTCGTGTGGGGTGTCTTGTGAGTGCAATGGAGTTTCCTTTAGTGCAGCAGTCTCGGTCTCCAGGCCCACGCTGTGCGATGACTGAGTGCGTGTCGCCCTTTCCTCCTCAACCTAAAAGAGGAAAACATTTGACTAAGTGAAAAGTTGTGAGCCATGTGATAATTCTGCCAAAAACTGGTCTGTGCTCATCTGAGGTATTTGGAAAGACATGAGGTTGAGTAAATGACATAATTGATGAATTGATGAGTGACTTTTTACTATTCCTTCAACAACAAGTGAGTTGGCAGAACTGGTTTTATTTCGATGGCTGTTTTTCTACCATTCAAGTTTAGTGGGAGAAAAGATAAAACACTTTTGTGACTGCCAGGAAGTGTTTAAGTGCAAACAGGGCAAGTTTACAGATTCACACTTTAGTTGAAGATTGAATTACTTTAACTTTAATGACTGCACACTATCAACAGTTAAAGTGGACCTAATCAGCCAGTCTCACTAAGAAATATTGGACAACCAGATGACTCCACACAGCCTTAAATCTATAGGTTACACAGAGGAGGGGGGTCTTTGTTGGGGCCCCTGTCGGTGAGTGGCTTTATAGATTAGCCTGTTAAAAAGACAAATGTCAACAACACTCTGAATGAGAAGCTATTGCACAACTTCAGGGACTATTTACACAACAGGCAAACTCCCCTCTCTAGAAGTCAAATGTATGTGATCCCATTTCACAATACAGAGTTAAATTTCAATGTGTTAAAAACGCACACTCAAGACTTAATTAGGAGAAGAGTTCAAGTGCTTGCAAGTTGTTGAGGTATTTAGTTGGTAACTGTGTCATTGTTTTTTGTCACCTTTTTATCAGTCCCTGATTCCTCCGTTGTGTAACGGCTGTCATCCTGTGCGGGGAGTCCTGGGCCAGAGGAGATCTCTTCTGAACAATAAACATGACGACACGAGTGCCTGCAACACATAGAGTAAAAACGTAAGATTCACAAAAGCGGAGTTGATGAGTTGTATGACCTACATGTGATATAAAAAACTCTTAATCTACTACTAAATGTCATAAGAGCTCATGATGACATCTCTAGCTTTCATAGCAAAGAAGAAATTTGCATGGTTGAGATGCAAGATTACACCTCTTTCCATTGTTTATTCCTCCAAGCACAGTGAAAGTTATTCTGACTAAAGCCAATTACATCAGAGCTCACATAAAAGCGGTTTCACCCAAACATACTGGCATTTACCACTCAAAATAAACTGAAATTTTGTCCAATCATTTTCACGGTATTACAGTCTCGCACTGCCTAATGCTGTCTAAGCTTAGTTGAGAAATAGAGTCTGAATGGCATGGATTACCATTATGTTAAGATTTCAGTCAAGGGAATAGATGTGAGGAATTTATGTTCAGATTAGGTGATGTGCACAACCATAGATTTTCAGATTATTCGGACAGACTGCTTTGGGTCCACACAACAAATGAATTGGCTAAAGAGCAACACCCTATCACAGTGCACACAGAATTGACCTGTTTAATAAAACAGAATCTGCTCACAGCAGGGTATTTTAAGTCCAAAAGTACCACTATTAGGTGTGCTTTAAAAAGGTGTCCGGATCGCAGACACTGAACTATGATATAATCTTGGAATGTTGATTTGGTTTTTAGTGTGCTGACTGTCTAACAACACAGGCCTGTGCATGACACTTTTATAAACATAGACTTAAAAATACATACAACATCCCACTGTAATAGCAATTATGATTTACATTTATTAATTTTATTTTTGGCCACATAGAATTGAAAGGATGGAAAATGAAGGGGCAAAATGACAAGCTGTACAAAACAGTTTGTTATGCTGCTTAATTAACAAGATATTTTTTAACATATTATTTTAAAGTATTGTCTTAAAAACACCTTACTTCTGCAATGGAAAAGTAAGGTGGATAATGTGGATGTAAGAGACCAAGGTGAGCCTGAGAAAACTCAAGTTTTGTTCTACTCCACTGAACTAATTTCTGCTTGGGTAACTATTAACTCACTCTTCACTATGAGAAATGAACTGTATGAATGAAGCAGTTAATAATTAGACAGATTTTATGTGGCAACACAACACAAACCTGATTTTAAAGGCACATGTATAACTAGGGCCATATGATTTCCATGATATGACAGAATTCACTGTATGAAACAAAATAGGCAAATTGACAAAGCGCCAAAATAAAACAAATAAAAGAAATTATGACAGAAATATATTACAATTGTATAGCCAAATATACTTCTCTGAGTAATAAGAACAAAAATAATCATACGGAACATTGCACAATACATTTTTTTCCATCCATGTTTTAATTTATGCAGTATACCTCTGTTGTGCAGCACTTAATTTGACAAAAACTAAAAATGCAATGCTTTGATGTAAAGGATTTATTGCATATTCAGTTTAATACAAAATAAAAAAATTGTTAAAGTTCATTTAATTAATTTGATTACCACAGTTTTGATAATACATTTGTATCAAATCAAAAGACTGGATCAAATTGGAAATTGGGAGGGAAATTAAATAAATAAAAGATTTCATAAGGTCATTTAAAAAAAAATATTTCACTAATATTTTATATCAAATTATTAAAATTAATAAAGACATGCTTTTATGATATAGTTACCTTAAAAAAAACGTTAAAAGATTTAAAACAGAAAAATGTAAATGGGAAACAGAATGGGGGGGATAAAACTGATAGTATCCTAGTACACATCATTTCTATTCTAATTCTATGAAGTTTTAATGCTTCCTTGCAACTGTCACGATGCAAGACTCACAATGAATGTAAACCACACACACACAACAGCAGTATCTGAATATCACCTGACGCTCTTCTTTGCCAAACTGATCAATCAATTATACACTATATCCATCCCTCCTAATCCTGCCGGTCTAATTTAAACAGCACACACCCCCATGGGAGGTAAAATCACGGCAAAAATCTTGTACTATGCATCTGCTCGCCAAAGAAAGCTGTACGATGACTTTTTGGAGAATGAACAACAGCTGGGCCTTGTCATTATCAGCACTCTGTCTCGCTCTCATTTCAAATGTTCACATAGAGTAACTTGAGAGCGTTACCTTGACTAGATTTAGGAGTAAGGGGAACCTGTGCACATGCAGGCTCATGTTAGCACACTGTCAGCACCTCAGCCAGTATGTTCAAACCCTTAATCAGGATTGGACCTAACCAACTTCAAGTGATTCCTCTCATGGGACTATACTCGTTATTATCCAGCCTTTGTAATAAGGCGTTTACTTGAGGAAAGCATGTATGGGCAAGTCCTAGCCTTAAAAGACACACCCACTTTAAGACATAATGGAACACTTCTTGAAAAGTTTACAATGAGGAAAAACTTTCAAAGAGCAATAAATTACCTATTGTAAAATGATGTTTGCAAGACAAGCGAGATGCACAGACGCACATGGATCTGAGCTGATGAGGGTCAAACCTTGAACATATATACACAACCAGATATAGTGTTCATATAGGTATCAGCGGGGAGTTATTGAGTAACAAATGTACTGTGTGTCTTATGACCAAAACTATAGTAGCAGGGGCGCCACATACATATAGGCAAACTGGGCAGTTGGATAGGGCCACAGATTAGGGGCAGCAAAAGCAATATAGACAGAGAGAAATAAAAACACATCACATAAGTTATTTTATTGGCAAGCATGATTGTATTACATACAATACTGCCAAGGCAACACTTGACCTGGATTAACATGACATGAGCAAAACAAATTTGCATGTAAATGGTTCATACAATCTGAATCAAGCGGTTTAACATTTAAAAAAAAAGATATTCTGTTGGACCAAGTGTCGAAAGTGGGACTTTTATTTTAACAGCAGAATAAATGTGATTAGGCTTGGCATTTAAAATAAATGCCACTATAATATACGTTTGTTTTATACTTTTATTAAAAAATACATTTTTCATTCCTGTTTTGATTCTGAATATTGTTAAATGTAAGGATGTGTTGTGGAGTGAGGGAACTAAAATAGCTGTTTGTATACTTCACATGTAGCCTAAAAGGTTAACATGTGAAGCATTGGGGGCGGCACAATCCTTTTCCCTACAGTTTTCCCAAGAGCATCAGTCGAGTATCCCCTGGATAATGTACAGACCCAGTCATTTATTTCACAATAAACAAGACAGGCCGAAAATAATAATAATAATTAACTACATATAGCACATTTCTCGGCACTCAAAGCGTATTACATAGAGGGGGAATCTCCTCAACTAATCACCAATGTGCAGCATCCACGCCCAACACACACCAGCCAACACCGATCACTCATGTGGATTATATCTTTGTAGTAATGACCAGCTAACTGTACATTATCATGTTTGATACAAGACTAGTCACAAAATAATGAAATAAAAAGACATTATATATTGATTCGAGTTGAAAAGTAATTATGTGAGAAGCAAGAGAGTAAAGAGTGATGTGTTGCCCGAGACAATGGCCAGTTACAGATAAGCGGATATAATTGTTCATATAGATACTTCCGCTGTTGGGAAGCGACCCCACAGGCATATCAGGGATACTGCTGCTTTTCCATTGGACAGGGAGCTTATGGGAACTCAGTGGGAGAACATCATATCACATTTAGCTCTTATTTATGAGAGCCCTTACAGAGAAGCACAGCAGGGATCGAGCAGACACACAAGAGCTGAGGCTGATGAGATGATGACAAAGGACAGAACTAGGAAATGATCTAAACACCTGATTTGCAAAAAAGAGGAGATGAAAATACATTTTGTTGGCTGACTTGTTGCAGGTTTTTTTTACAATTAACAAACATCACAAACATAAAACCTTGGTTACATCACATCATCACCCTTAGGCGATGATGTGATGTAATGGGAAAAGACACTAAACTTGCCCATGTACAAATACCAAACACATTTTTCTTTTGTTGGACTAAAATATATCTGTTTGTCTGAACCAGTTCATGGCTGTAGACATGCAGGAGAAGGTTGACATGTTGGGTTAAGTCATAGTCACCCCACTTAAAAAGTGTTCGACCATCCCAAATAAGATGCCGAATCGATGGAGAAGTCAAGATGCATTTACACTTGTCCAGTTTTGTCTGGAATGCGGCCCAGACCACCTCCTGAAGTGGTTTGAGCGATCGGATTCATATCCGTCTCGAATGCGTTTCAGGGGGCATTTACACCTTGTCTGTTCACAATCGGATAGCTATCCGATCACAGAAAACGCATGAAGTGGCCAGGTGTAAACGGCCCCTTAGATGCACTGCAAAGTGCACACAGTCAATATTTTACTACCCCCTCAGTAGTCAGGGGGTTCTGCAATGAACATGAAGGTTTGTCCAAACAAATGAGGGACCCTGTGGAATCACAGGGTCAGAAACTAAGCACCAGAACACAATGGGAGAGAAACTAAGCACCAGAACAGAATCCTGGTGATGGGACACTACACAATAAATGATGGCGATCAACTTCTCTGTGCTCCACTTGATGTGACAGATCACTTCATTTTGTTCCAGTGTTTATTCTCTCTGTCTGTCTGGATGAGCAGATTTAGGGAAGCCAGGCGCCCAGCAAAATCCCCCAAATATTTCCTGTTAGCTTTAGCCCTAATCTTCATGCCAGAGAAGAGCAGGATCCACAACTGTACTACAATCATAAACAATGATGCCACTAAACTTAACGTCATCTCCCATAGAATGCCAGAAAATGAGCTTGAAAATCATGCTTGCATTGTTTTACACACACACACACACACATATATGCTATAAATGCTACCGTCTAAAATACTAAGTCTAAAACTGACACTGAACTGAAACTGAAAACACCTGGACTTGTGTGAAGTGCCCATAAATAACTCCAGATGAAGGTTTATGCAAATGCTGTGGTTGGCATTTGTGGCTGATGGAACTGGCTTTAG